TCCTAACTTCAACTTCTTGCTCTAAATTCCGATTTCGATTTCTCACAGTAATCTACAATCCTCTTTTCACCCTGTAAGTAGGTGAATTTTCTCAAGATCACTTTGGCATCGTTCAAAGGTCGTTCATAAATTATAGTCTCATCGGAAAGTTATTTACAATTAGTCGAGTCAGTATTGCAGGTCGACCTTGCTGAAGAGTTCCAACCAACACGATATCTAAGTTCAAAGTTTGCTAATAACCACTTCCATCGACTTAAAAACTTTTAAACCTTTTTAGATTCTTCAATGTTTAAGACTCAAAACAAAAACTTTTTTTAATTATTAAGTCAATGGGATTTGTAGAGGAAATTAACAGTTCCCTTCCCGTACTGAACAGCTGTTTGATTTTCATTTCAAACTTCTCACTACGGTTTACACTTATTCGTCAGCCAAAAATAATCCAGCTTTCTAGTTATTGTTTTTTTCACACTATTATCAATACTAGTTCATTAGTTGACGTGATTAAATGAGAATTACTTGCCAAAATTACATAAGGCGATTGTTTCAATCACTATATTCCTTTTCATATTTTTTACACTGCAAAAAAAATGTACTTTTGATCATTTTGTTTATGCGAAAAAAGAAAAGTTTTACTCGACAAAGACATTCAAGTTAAGTAAAAGTTGTAATAAATAAAAGTTTTCACCAAACAACCGTAAAGAAGAAGAAAGAGAATAACGCCAACAACAAAAAATATAAACTACATAGTTTTGTCTAGCAATTTCAAAATGAATCATTAGTCGCTAGTAAAATGTACTGAAAAAGGAACACAATCGATTTTCGATTAATGACTGTCTTGCATTCGAATACATTTATCTAAGAAGAAAATAACTGAAAAATTGGGTTTTAAGAAATGGGATCACTAATTACGTAGTATTCTTCTCTTTTGTTAACAATGTTCACGTGTCTATGAATGATATTTATGAAATGCGAAAAAAAAGAGAAAGACCTAATTAACTAGAAGTTGGCTATCTATGGCAAACTAACATTATTGACATTTTTAATGTATTTGCATATGTGTTATGTAACCATTACTCCTTAAAATCTCTTAAGTTTCATTTATATATAACGTAGGACCTAGCATAAATATGTCAGTTGATGTTGCCACAATTCAAATCATAATATCAGTAGGAATTATTGATATATAAAACTGGAGAGAAATAAGAAAATCAACCTTAGTAGAAACACAGAATAGAAAATATAGATCAGATGATTCAAATGAAATGAATGACACAACTGAGAATATTTAAGAGGGAATGCAACTACACCTCTGAATACAAATCTGAGTTATATAAGGTCTTCAGTAATCTAATACAATGACGACGTAGATATTGACCACGAATTCTGTACCAATTAATATTGACTTAGCCACATAGTCAATGACTTTATTGACTCCTGACATGTCTACTGTCTGTCTAGTTTAACCTATCTCCCAGTTAACTCTCATGCCACCTATCACTGCACATAGGGAGAGCCCGTGATTAGATATGCATGGCACGTGTCTTAAATATCTCAGTTAATAAGGATCTACAATCCAGCAACAATACACAAAAAGTATTAGAATGATATTCAAGTTTGAAGAAACTCCACATTGATAATCATGTTAAGAAATATTTATGAAAAAGATAATAGTTAACCTGGAAACAAATTGGTTGATATAAAAAAGAGTAGATACTTACCGTATAATAAACATGTTATATACTAATATTTGTTGATGTTCCTTTATAATAAAATAAACATTTGATTATTATTCCATTTGAAAAAATTTACTAAAATCAAATATATCCTTTTTTTCTAAAGGGAGTTTTTGATAATCCGGTATCTAGTTCAAGTAATTGAGAAAGCAGTAAAGGATTAAGTAAATATCTCAATGCATCAAGTTTTGTTTATTGCTTAATTTTTTTTCTTTTTTGGTAGTTAAGCCATGTTAGAGCGTTGTACAGATGATCAGTGAATATGTAGAGAAACTATCATATTTCCGATTATTTGATGGAATAATAATAATGTGGTGAGTGTGAAATTTGTTCGATTGAAGCAATATATATCGTTAAAATCACAGGGGCCTAGTAACAAATGATTATAATTGACTTTAATATATACAATCTATTGGTTAATGAAAATGAAAATCTATGCATACATTATCTAAGATTGCTGAATTTTCAAGAATTGTACAAAGGGAAAGAGGAGAGATGAAAACAAAAATGCTTTTCTTTGAATGTAAATATAAAGTTATAATATTGTTAATTCATGAATGACAAGATGGGAACAAAATAACTCACACTCTACACCCCTATGGTTATAGTGTAGTGTTAGAATTAAATAAATAAATCCGATTACAGAAAATGTATCCACCACTAAGATAAACAGACCATGAATAGTTTTTATAGTGCGTCAGTCTGATCAAACATTGACTTTTTTGTTGTTGATGTGTTGATGGACTAATAAAATTTATTAGCCAATCAAAAAATAGTATTAGTACGGTTGGTTGGCCTTCGATCTTATTGGTTAAAAATTATAAACATCATTGTCTGTAGTGAAAATCGTGTTAGAAAATTTGATAGGCTCATTAAAAATTATTAACTGGATCTGGGATACAACATCTAAACCAAAAGGTTCATAATAGCTGACACTATTAGGCCATTGATTGTACTTGGTAGGATAGCATCATAAATGTTGAGTAGCATAATATATTTTGTTCCAAATTGAATACTCTACTGATAAAAACGTTTTGTACTGAATATGCGTTGACTTTGTGTTGTAATGAACTACTATCTTATTTATGTGAATGCATTGTATTCATCATCAACAATAGATAACAGATTTTAAACTCTTATTAAGATTTAACAATTTTTTATGTAAACATTCTCTGTAAATATGGCATCTGAGATTATTTCAGTATTTGAATATCAATGTATTCGATATTCTGAAGTTTTTAAATTAAAATGAAGTTTTAAGTGAACGGAAACCATATTACACTCCATTGAGTATTTACACAAGTAACCAACATTCAGAAATCCTGATTTATGCAGACCACTTACAGGATGAACTTACCTACCTACTTACTTACTTACTTACGCCTGTTACTCCTAATGGAGCATAGGCCGCCGACCAGCATTCTCCAACCCACTCTGTTCTGGGCCTTCTTTTCTAGTTCCATCCAATTCTTGTTCATTTTTCCCATGTCTATCTCCATTTCTCGGCGTAATGTGTTCTTTGGTCTTCCTCTTCTTCTTTGGCCTTGAGGATCCTATGTGAGGGCTTGTCTCGTGACGCAGTCTGGTGCTTTCCTCAATGTGTGTCCTATCCACTTCCGGCGTTTCTCCCTGATTTCTTCCTCCACTGGGATCTGGTTTATTCTCTCCCACTTACAGGATGAACACAAAAGTAAATAAATAGTACGGATGTAAAAATTAATTTTTAAAAAATACCGTTTTTGTAGTAAAATATCTAGAAACAACTCATCCTGTTCAAAATAGAATTTTTATCAGGGTTACATAATTTTGTAGAAAAAAGTACATTTCCGTGGACCAATTATTTGTTATTGTAATCATTATATACTGCTTATCTTGTATAGTTGGTAAGCATTAACGTCAAGTGTCAAAGACCATGAAACCTAGTTTTAAGATATTGTATTCATCGTCTTTGAGAATTTTTCACATATTGTTACTTATTATTGAGGCTTGTTTTCTTATCAGGCAAGCAGTAATATGAAGTGATATTCATTTTTTTGTTCCTTTGGTGGCATAAACTTTTCTAATTTTACAGATTTATCTTACTGGTAAGTCTTAGAATAAAACAACCATTGTTGTTCACAAACAATTATTCAATTACCATATATGCTGATAGAATATCAGTCGGAGGAATCATGAAAAGCTGAAAGAATATTCAGCTCATAGTTTTTCCAAAATTTATTTCGAGTTTCCCAAAGTTTAGAACAGTTGCGGTTATCTTTTACCAAGTCATTAGAAAGTTAGGTCATTAATTGTGCCTTTTTTTTAAGCTTAAATTTGTGTTTCTATCCTTTCATAATGAATACTGTATTTCATTTATGAATGAGGTATTTTAAGTTGAATTAAATAATTGTATTTAACATTTTTAGGGTTTCTCATCCACTGAGTTGATTTGTAGGAAGTCTATCTATCCACTGAAAATTGGATCAATAAAGTATAAGGTTTAGAAGATAATTTGCTTGCTTTTTTGCTCTCTTTGCTAGTGCTCAAATATGATTTTACAAGAGATTGAAAGAGAAAGATTTCAGGGTTTTTTTTATGACAATGATATTTAAATTTGGAGCATGATAATGACAAGTAAAAATGAAACCTTTAGTGCTAGGCCACTGATTCATTCGTTCGTGACCGATGGACAGCATAATCCGAATCTAATAGTCTTTTGCATCTTAAATGAAATTTTTCATGTTTATTTTTGTGTTGAGTATTACCATATAAAACAGTTCTCTTTAATCACCGATTGGTTTATTCTTTAGTGTTTGTTCATTGAGAGCCTGTCGATAATAATTCGATTTTCATGATTATTTTTTTCTCAAAATCTATAACATTTCAATCAATACATGGAACTTATTGTACAATCTATAAATTAACACATAAAATTAATAATTCCTTAACCATAGGGAATTTGGATGTTGAAGTTTTACACTTTTTGGTTTGATTTATATCATGATTTTGTGTAGCCATCTGCAACTGACACCTATTTATAAGCATGATAAATGAGCACCTGAAACAGTGATTTTCTCTTACGACTCAGTTATTTATTGAAACCATCTACCATATTTTTTAAATAATAACTAATCCCAATTATTTTAATTATTGAATTTCTTCAATATTTAACTCTTCAAAACTACTTCATCTCTTCTTTAATTTTAAATGCATGGTAATGAATTACTGAATGAAGCCAATTTGTTGTTAATAGTCAAGACTGAGTAGGCTAAAAAAATTTATAGTTCGTTAACCTTGACGATCATCATCATCATCATCATCATCATCATCATCATCATCATCATCATCATCATCATCATCATCATCATCATCGTCGGCGGCGGCGGCGTCAAATTGTACTCGAAAATTCGAGTGAAACTTATCAAGTACATTGTCAGTATTAACCTACTGTGTTAGTGGTTAATGCAAAACTCTACAATGGATTATGTTTATATTGAATAAGAATAAAAATTTCTTTGCCCTCTTCTCAAACATATTTGAGAACAAACAAATCACACAAGCCGTGTGACAATTTTTTTCAAAAATTTTGAAATAATAATTTCTTCAGGTTTATTTTGAAAACTTCTATGTTAAAAATATCTTTATACTGTAAACCATTGACCGTTATAATATTATTTAGACACTGTTATTTTATATTTAAATTGTTTCTGACACCATATTATTGAAATCGAAGTGAAATCTAGAATATGAATTTCATCTTGTTTTGAAATCTTCGGCTGAATGTATCTTCATCTCCTAGTGTGACAGTTCACATTGAAATTCGAACCGGGTATTTTTCTGTAAAGAGATGATTAACATCAACATTAACGGGAAAGTACAAAGTCTTACAATAAAGTTTTTATACTTGTTCAGAAGATTTACTAAATATTTAAAAAAAACAGAATGATTTAGATCAGCGGTGATTGTCGATCAATATGTGAGCAGTATATTTGGAATAGGGTATAAGTCAGCTAATTTAATACAGAAAATTGTTATATGATGCCTATAAAAACGAAAAACGCTTAGAAGAAGAAATTAAAAAAGAAATAACTAGTCATTGAAACTGCTTGAGGGATTGGAAGGGAGTTTTAAGAATATCAAACAAATAGTGCATTTTAATTCATTAGAAGTAAACAAATTCACAGAAATGCAAAATTTATATTGACCATATACAGAATAATGCATATATATATATATATATATATATATATATATATATATATATATATATATATATATATATATATTCGAAATTATGAACTGATCAATGTTAGACCACCATTGAAAACCTGAAAGCACTGGACGAACATTTTGTTCTAGTTTGGGACTCCTCAGCAAGACACATCTTCACAACCATATACTGATATTTGTGTTCTCATTGGAAAATTGTTCTGATATTGTTTTTCTAAGCGTCAAATAAAGAAAAAAACTTATTTACTAACAAAGAACTAATCATAAACAATTTAGTCTTTTTTTTATGAACGGAAAAATGTTACTTTAGAAGACAATAAACAAAGCAGATTATGGTTAATATTATTATTCATGACCAAGGTCATATTACATCAGAGAGGGAAGGAGAGAGGGAACATAATGTAGACCATTGTCTAATAATTAGAACTCATTTTCATTTCACAATGTTAATGATAACTTTAGATATACAACACAACACAACACAGCAATATTCAAAATCTTTTACAAGAAACAGTTAGCGTTGAACGTAAATATTTAGTTATATAATTTATTCATTCAATGAATGGAATAAGATACGGATTTTGTTATTTATGAACAAAACAGGCTATAAAAAAGTTTGTGAATTTGTCTATTGAGAAAAAGAAACTATTTGTATATGGATCAAATGAATTAGTGAGGCTTATGACAATGTATGTTTGATGTGAAACCAGTATGAAATTCGACCAATTATGTTGCCCGTGAACAGTCTGTCGTGATTTTCAATCCATAATGAATTGTCTAAATAATCGTTAAAGACTTCGATGGTTGAAATCATGGGCCAATTGAAGCTAGACCACTATGGAAAACCCGGGAGCACTGGACGGCCGTTTCGTCCTAGTATGGGACTCTTCGGTAGTGCGCATCCACGATCCTGCTCTTCGCGAGATTCGAATCCAGGACCTATCTGTCTCGCACTCGAGCGCCTAACCATTAGACCACTGAGCCGGTACCCAACGGTGTTAGTGTCTAACTTCAAGTAATCCACGAAGAAATAAAATCGTATATATCATCTGTGCACGTGATTCATGCACATTATTGGAAAGTTTGTCAGTCAGAAATCGAACTTTTGACGATTTCAATAGCTTCGTTTGAACACTGAAAACAAAGTGATCTATATTTGCTGTAATTTAAAACATAACAGTTGAAATAATTCATTTCGATTAGTAAGAATATTAAATATTTGAGAGATATTCATAGAAATACCTAGTAACCGGAGTGAAATTTGTAAAATGGTTAGTGTTTTTTCACCTTTTTGGTTAAGTTTTTTATTATGTCAAGCCGAGATAAATTGATTTCATAAAACGGAACTTTTCCGCACTGTTGCGAAACGTCATTACCCGTTTGTTTTATATTGTTTGTTTGAATGCAGAACAAACACATATACCAGTAAGAGATGGATCATAAACATTAATGAGAAGATTCAAACAACCAATGCAATAGTGAATTAAATTTTACCCGATTGCACAAGCTAGTGGCTATCAGAACTCACTAGCTAAGTGGATAACATGATAGAGTTCGAAGAGAACTGTACTGGATTCGAGTACCGGAGTGAGTATCAACTCTGGGATGCAGGTACATCCAGCTGATGAGTCCCAAATAGAAGGAAGCGCGCGTCTTGGATTCTACAGCTAGCCACCATCCTTCTTTGTCTATCTTTACCGATTATAAACATTTTTTCTACTATCTGGTGTTACATTTTAAATTCAACTACGCTCCACAAAGGTTTTGTGGTTTCTCGCTCTGAATAAGTGATTAATTCATAAAGATGTCATCTTTTTTCTAGACAATATGAGCACAAATGTAGAAAATAAGCGACCTATCATAATTAGTAGCAATATAACTTTTAAAAAAATAAGATCATTTTTAATTAGACCGTTATCAGGCCTTGCGCTAATATACATCGATATTTACATCCATAAATTAATCAAGGTAGTTTGTGAGTTCACATGAGCCTGTTTCTTCAATGTACATCCACAAATTCAGTTGCTCTTGCTGATCTACATAACATTGGGTGGACTACGAGACAACTTAACCAATGAGTAAGTAAATATTTTCCCAAATGGCTTGTAAATATTTAGAAGAAGACAATGGGTAACACTGTTTTATCACAATTAGTTGACAGCAATGATATGATAGATACAACTAAGTAATCTACCGCATATCTTTGTCATTTACCAACGTAGTTCGGTCTCATATCCTACATATACCAAAGGCCATAATGATTCGAACCGACAACTCTAGTTTACTTAGCTAGAAGAAATTTATGACAATCCTATCCATTCCTTGACCAGATATGAATAATAAACGATTCTATTAATCAACATGATTAATATTCCAATTATTATTAGTATTTTTCACAACCTTTGTTTGTTTGTTTTTCCCCGTCCTCTTTCTCATTTATTCCTTACTATTTATTATTATCACAGTTTTAATTTCCCGTACCTTTCTTAATCTTCAACTTATTTGCTATTTTATAACGTTAATTGAAGCTTTTATTATTCTCATCACTTTTAACATACTTGTTATCGCATTATCAATCTGTACGGTTTATTTATTGTGTTTAGCTATATCATCTATTTCGTTGTTATGACTAACTTAAGAACAATCTTCATTGGTTTAGTATTTTCATTTTTGCATATAAATATTAATGTAGATTAATTTAGATGATGGTCAGAGGTAGTTGACAGGAAACCCTGGACCCGGGTTTCCTGCTACTTGGCACTCGTCAGCAAGGTCGCGGCTCGGATATCTCAGTAGTAACGTCTCTGACTGTGAAGCTGGGTGACACGAGATCGAATCCGCCAGGGAGCGCCAGTTCCCTCAAGATTATAGGTATACCTTGCTGACGAGTGCCAAGTAGAACGAAACCCGGGTCCAGGGTTTCCTGTCGACTAACTCCAACCACCATCTAAATCTCAATATATAGTGCCCACAGTGTCGAGTCACCTAGACTGGTGGCTACATTGCAACATGATCGATAGCATTAGATCTGCACTAATAAGGACTAGGCACGCATGACATTCATCACCACCCAGTGATCAATCATTTGTGAATGTATATTAGAATAGAGAGGTTGATAAAGATCTAATTGAAAACGGTACTTTTAGATTATCCGTGTTGTTCTAATTTACAATATGAGAATTTTAAATATTCTATTAGAATTTGCCTACAATTGAACAAAAAAAATCAGCCAGATCTGCCAATGAACTTGGTATTTTCTATTGTTGTAGAAATAGTGACAGCACACTTACTGAAATTTATACTGGTGTTAATGTCTGGCAACATATTTGAAGCTTTATGATGAAATTATCCATACAAGTAAGAAAATATAACATTTCTTTTAGTTATCTCATGAGATACAGATCTTCCAAGCCATGTTGTCTACACAAATTGATTTATCTTTATTAATTCTTACTGTAGCTAAGATCGTTATTTATTACCTGAATAAACTTAACTGAATCTTTTTTTTTGTATTCTAGATGTCATTACCAAGGTTTGACTTGATAATTGAGCATTGGGTAGATTGTAATTAATAAAAATAATATATTTGTAATATCCTAATAAGTAGAAAAATTAGATTTGTATTATCTAAACTTGGGTAAATTTAATATGCTTATTTATTCTCTGAAGGAGTGGCTTACACTGAGCCACGGAACGTCAGAAAATTAAAGAAAATTGGGATATTACGAACATATTTTTGTATGTATTTCTCAATAGCAATCAGAAACGACCTGATTGGATTCAGATATAAGACCGCTAAAGTGGTGAACCCGACGACGGACCTAATGCGGCAATCTATGTGGATGAAGAAAACTCTGCACTCTATACTTTCGACGAACAAACTCAACGAAGCCAGCTCAATCTCAAATCAGACGCACTCAGCTAAGCCTATGCAGCTCGACATAGGACCAGCCACTACAATATTACTTTTGTTGTATTCTGTTTAACATTCAAGAGGTTGAACGAAACAATAGTTCAGTGTTATGTAGTTTTTAATAGTTCATGGGAGAATATCAATTTATAGTTATTAATTCTTTCTTATAGGAAATTATTCAAGAGAAATGATATCTTATTCATGATAGAAAATGTACATTTCTTTCGGTTCTATTTTAGATGGATTCTATTAAACTACACACCTTTTTCGCTATTATTCCACATAAGGTCATCATTCATTT